CATTAAACAGCATGTATTGCCCCCTTTGTTGATCCGGGGAAGCCCCAATCAGCAAAACATTTGTATTCATTCTTTGGTTCATTTATAGGCAAATACAATATTCTTGGATACGTTTGGGCATAAAACTGATTCTATAAATATGCTTCATGAGAAAATAGTTACTATTTTGGCTTTGTATGATCCAGATAAGGAAAAGTTTTGACATTGTTGCAATGCTCTTTTTATTAGGGAGTACTCACGGAGACTACGGCAGAGTTAGCAGCTTCACTTTCTTTGGCAGCAGCGAGAAGGATTGTTGAAGCAGATGAGTTCATGAGGGGAGGTTTATATGATGGATGGCTTCCTAATCTGTATGACTACTATTACTTACCATTACCTTTGCTTAGTTTCTGTATATGTTACTTGAAAATATACAAATTTCAAGTGCTTCAAAGATGAAACATGACCTGATTTGGCTTCTACTTTCTAATAGATTTGTGGGGAACTTGCTTAAAGGACAGACTGTTGGTGTGATTGGAGCTGGTCGTATTGGATCCGCTTATGCTAGAATGATGGTAATCTCCTTACTGCTAACAGAATATCTCATGCAAGTTTTAAAACTAGACCAGATTCACCTCATCCACATTATTTGGTTGGATGCTGGATTAATTAGTGCATTTATAGGTAGTAGGTACTCATGAGTTCTATAAATTGGTAACTCAATTTGGAAAAAAGTTGTTTATTTCAGGATGAGATTTTACCACAAAAAAGAATTATCTGATCTGTTCTAGAAAAATTACCGGGCACATCGCCCTCAATCTTTATCTCATTGGTACATTTTATGGTCTTTTGCTGCATAAGACCAAACTATATTTTAACTGATCTAATCTCATTGTATCTTCAATAGATGATATTCCAACTGCTCACAAATGTATTCATTTATATATGTTTATCCTTTTTTGTCTTACCACACATCCTTCTCAACATATGAACTGCAGCGACATTCATGTTATGAACAGGTTATTTCTTGATGGGCCAACATTTTGTCTCCTAAAGTTTGTCTATTCTTTATAAAATTCCCTGTTAGTCTTAAGTTATATTTATATCCCTATTTTTATATCCAGTTTTCCTAAATTTACATTCCATATGACAATTTTCTCCTTGGTATACTACACTCTTTTGATGCTAAAGCTTCTCTCCAGACCTTTAAATTAACGTTTATCCTTGCTTTAATATAGTGAATAAAAATAATATCATTAGAAAGGAGCACGTATCATGTTTCATTCTCAACATGTTTTAGTAGTTTTTCCATAACTAACCAAAAATATATATATATATATATATATATATATATATATATATATATATGCTTTAATGTTGACCTGTAAGCTGCTAAGCTTATAGTCATAGCTCCATAGTACATGTCATTTATCATGTCAATAGTACATGTCATTTATATATTTTTTCTTCACTCTATCTTTTTAGTCTCCTGACTAGATGTCCCTTGCCATTTTGGGAGCATAAAAGAGTTGCACACTGCATCAGTTAAGGGGCACATTGTAGTATTTAATCAAATATTCTCAGTATTCATGTTCAAAAGGGAGTCCGGCAATGTTTTGTTACTGTACCAGCTGACAGTACAACATAGAAAGAGTTAGGCAAGGTATAACCAGAGAAAAAAATCTTGGATTTTATGCCTGTTTTCTGTTCTCTTTTCTCTTTCTTCACTGAACAATCACGGGCCTGTTTCTCATTTAGATATTCTCAAGTACATTTTCATGACTAGCGAGTTGATTCTCACAGACCACTGCTTGACTTGGCTCTGAGGGACTCCAAATATTGATCTGTAGGGATGAATAATTTCTGTTGTTCTACTGTAACAGGTTGAAGGGTTCAAAATGAACCTAATTTACTTTGATCTGTACCAAGCCACACGCCTAGAAAAGTTCGTTACAGGTACGTCTGAGTCAATCTTTTGAAACTAATCAGTTTCCCTAACTACATGCTTATATCAATTTGTTCACCTGTTGCAGCTTATGGTCAGTTCCTAAAAGCCAATGGCGAACCACCTGTTACTTGGAAAAGAGCATCAAGCATGGATGAGGTTCTCCGAGAAGCCGATGTGGTAACACACTTTTGCTCAGAGTTATTATGCATTTTAGGTTTTTTAATTATAGTCATGCTTTAAATAATATGGGTTTGCTTGATACTCTTGTTAGATAAGTCTTCATCCAATCCTGGACAAAACAACTTATCATCTGGTAAATAAAGAAAGGCTCTCAAAGATGAAGAAGGTGAATCTTGAATGGGTGCTATGTTGTTCTTGATAATTCAATTAAGGAAATAGATAGCAAGTGCTTGTCACTTAAAATCATGCATTCTAAATCTATAGGAAGCGATCCTTGTGAACTGTAGTAGGGGGCCTGTGGTTGATGAAGCAGCTCTTGTAGAGCATCTGAAAGAGAATCCTATGTTTCGAGTTGGTCTTGATGTCTTTGAGGTAAGTTAATCCTCCTTCCAGTCTAGGGTCATATCAATTTGCAAATTACTTCCAAGTTAATGTATAAATTATTAATTAATGGTGTTGTATTAGGAAGAGCCTTACATGAAACCTGGGCTGGCCGACATGAAGAATGCTATCGTGGTACCTCACATTGCTTCTGCTTCCAAGGTAATTTGCTTGATTTTCCATCGATCACGCATAGTTTGAAGATTGAAAGAAAAACTTTAACAATAAAAGCCTACAGAGTTTTCCACACTCAGAAGTTTATCTATTTGTTACTCTGTTGCCAAAATATTTACCCTCCCAAATGGTTCATGTAGTGGACTCGCGAAGGAATGGCCACTTTGGCTGCTTTGAATGTCCTGGTATGCAATCTGGGCGCTAAAGAACTTGTTATCTCGAACTGCAACAGTCTGTTTAAATTTGATTTCTGTTAGTTTGAGTTTTCTGGTCTGGCTTGGCAGTGATATTTAGACTTCTAATAAAAACTATGACAATGCTTATCTGTGCAAAATATAGGGAAAGATTAAAGGATACCCAGTTTGGTTCGATCCAAATCGTGTAGAACCATTCATGAATGAGAATGCTCCACCTCCTGCTGCATGCCCAAGCATTGTCAATTCAAAAGCCTTGGGTATAGTATTTTATCATCTGAACTTTGCCAATTATAAGCCATTTCTCTAATACCCATCTTTTCTTACAGGTTTACCGGTTTCAAAGCTGTAAGCACGGATGCCTTATCAGTGATCCGTACTCCATAGGGCCCGTAATGCAGATGTACTCATTTTTTGAGGATGATGGTGCTCTATAGCGAGTTTTCATTTATGGAGAGTGCTTGTAACATTGTATAATCTTAAGAGGAACACTGATAACATTGTATAATCTTAAGAGGAACACTGATAACATTGTATATTTGCTGCACTGTCTTATATATAGTGGCATTTTGATCATGTCTAATGTAAGGGCTTTCAGTGGCTTCCCATCTTCTGAGTCTATAATGGCATTTGTGATTATGAGTCTTTCTGGATTCTATGCCCTTGATTAATTTGATAATCTTTCTTCTTCGTCCACTACTATATTTTAACTGACTATCCGAGAGTAAAAGCAAGGTCAGTGTGATTACTTGGTTTTCTTACAGGGAACAATATAATTGGAATGCTGATCAATGATCAAAATCACAATTATCATATATATATATATATATAATTTTGGTTCAGCAGTTGCAACTTTTGGATTTAACCATACAATTTTTTAATTGAATCTTTATATTCAAATCTGAATGGTTCTTACTTATATTTGATGTGCTTGTGACCCACCAAAAAAAAAAAATGCAACAGATGTTGAAATTGTGAGTTCTGTTTTCCAACCATTATTCTTTCTATTTATTAGAAATTCCTATCGCCGAACAAAAAGTTAAGAGTAGGGGAGAGAAGAAAAGAAAGCAAGCCTCACGCATTTCACTCTCCGCCCTTGATTGCCCGCAAATCCTTTTATCTTTCAAATAAAAAATTAAAAAAAAAAAGAGAAAAGAAAAGAAGAAAAAAATATATAGGACTTGAGAGGATTAAATAAATAGAAAATTATTCAAATCAATTTAGTATAATCACTACTTTTAATTTATATACCTATCATTGATTTAAGGTAATGTTTCGTACATTACCAAAAAAAAAAAAAAAAAAAAAAAAATGAAGAAGAAGAAGATAACATTAATTAGAAGGAAAAAGAAAAGAAAGTAGAGGATAGTGTTAATTATTTGTAGTTTTTGGTTGATTAATAAAGAAAAAAAAAATTGATAGTAATCATGTTTGGAGAAGGAAATGAAATGAAACTATTGTATTGAATTTTCAACTATATTCTCTTTCATAGAATTTTTTTTTTTATAAATATGAGGGTAAATTTAGTATTAACAAAATTTCATTAAAGTGTTAGCCTTTTATTTCATTTCCTCTTATTTATTTTTTTTGGAGAATAACAAGAGTTACTATTCATGCCTAATTCTATCCCTCCAAATTCTTTATTTTCTTTTCCATCCAACATTTCCTATCAAACGCATATTTTATTTCCATCCATTACCATTATTTTTTTTTCCTTTCATTTATGTTGTACCAAACTGACCTAAATGTTCTGAGATTTTTCTTTATTGATTAGGGACTAAAAATTCTGGTTGGACACCAATAATTGTCACATTACTAGTTTTTATTGCGAAATAATATAATTTTTTTTTTCCTAAATGAAATAATGTAATAATTATTGTGATAAACACGATAATATATCTTATTTATTATTAATAAAGAAATTTTGTTCAATATTATCCATTGAAGTCTTATAAAATTAGTAATAGGATATTGTAGCATTATTTTAAAAATATTTAAGGAAAAAATTATTAAAATTACTTTACCAAAAAAAATAAATAAACAAACAAAAAAAAATATAAAAAAGGAAAAATCTTTAAAGTCGGTGGACTACACGGTAACTCCAAATCCCACACCGCACAGTACTATTTAAACCCCTGCTCTTCGTTCGACCCTCTTTATCTTTCTGTACATCTCACAAACACTCTCTCTCTAGGGTTAGGGTTTTGTTTATTGCTTTCAGAGACACAGCTATGTCGACTTCAAAGATGATCCTGTTGAGAAGCTCAGATGGCGAGACCTTCGAGGTGGAAGAGGTCGTGGCGTTGGAGTCGCAGACCATCAAGCACATGATCGAAGACGACTGCGCCGATGCAATCATCCCTCTGCCGAACGTGACCAGCAAGATCTTGTCCAAGATCATTGAGTACTGCAAGAAGCACGTCGAAACCCCCAAGTCGGAGGAAAAGACTGCCGACGATGCTCTCAAAACCTTTGACACCGAGTTCGTCAAAGTTGACCAAGCCACCCTCTTTGATCTCATCTTGGTTTGACCTCTTTTTGCCCCTTGATTTCATTGATTATAACTGTTATATTCCTTTGTTGCTTTGATTTTTTCTTTCTGTCGATGGTTTGGTTTGATGTGATGATACAAATACATGTGTTTAGGGTTTTTACATATCCTTGAAATTAGTTGTCATTTTCACTTTATACTCATCTATTATGATTTGGAAACTGTGTACATATACTATTCAGATATTCTGTTCAGATATTCTGTAGTGTGAGAATGATTTTGGGGATGAATCAGGTATTACTTGATGTTAGGGTTTTTCCCCCTGAATATCATTTAGGTTTAGGATACCTGCAATGGTGGATATTGGTGGTGTTTCTATGTGAGTTTGTGAAGGAATGGGGACATTGTGAGTTTGTGAAAGAATGGGGACATTGTGAGTTTGTTGTTGTTACTTGGGTCTTTTTTGATAACAAAAATAATTTTGCACTTCTGTTTATAATTACTGGGACAACACAGCAGTTCCAGAAGACAGCTGTGAATTATCAGTAATTTTACAATATTTAGTAATCTACGTATTCAGTTCCCCTGTTTTGCCATGGATCTTCTATGCTTCCTTGTCTGCCATTCTTTGGGTTCTTCACATTGAAATATGGCAGGTAGAAAGGGGCACATTCTTGGGAAGGATGAGGTTGTGGTCAAAGTGCACGGGTAGCATTCAGTATTATAAACATTTCTTACAGTGTGGACTTGTCTTTTTCGTTTTATGCTCTGCGCATATGAATTTTAAGATGCACTTCTTTCATATGGATGATGTTTATATTCAGAGTGATATGTTTGTTTTTGCTAGTACATGTAAACATGACTTGTGTCTGACACACTTGAGTAAACAGTGTATAACATTTTGACTGGTACTGTTACTGTAACATTACCAATGAGAAAGGAGAAATTTTTACTTCACCTGTAATAGAACAGATTTGTTTTTGGGTTAAAGCTTTTATATAGGAACATTGGATATTTCCAGGTGGGATTCGGCATTTTATGCTGACCTTCAAATCTAATATTCGCTTTCATGACCCTTGCTGTGGTTTATGGATGAGTATGAGATGGTGTGGTGCTCTACATTGTTGTTTAGACTTGAGTTATATCCTCATTCCATTGTTTCTTTAAAGTAAATGTTCTTCTTTAAAGTAAATTTTCGGGTGTACTATTTGGTTTTGACAGTTGTAGTTTATTGTTCTTTCACGACCTTGCAGACATGCTGTTTGCTCATGGATCTTGAAAATTTTGTTTTGCGTTCATATTCATTCTTTTGGAAGTTAAACTCATGGTGTGTATTTCATGGTCTTTGTAGGCGGCAAACTATTTGAACATCAAGAGCTTGCTAGATCTGACATGCCAAACTGTGGCGGATATGATCAAGGGGAAGACTCCGGAGGAGATTCGTAAGACCTTTAACATTAAGAATGACTTCACTCCCGAGGAAGAAGAGGAGGTGCGCAGGGAGAATGCGTGGGCGTTCGAGTGAAATGCGGAGCAGTGTATGCAATGTCAATAGTATGATAGGATTGGGATATTATCACATGTGCTATGCACATTATGTTTGAATTGGTGAAATACATGGGTTTCTTTTTGCTTTGTGAAAACCATAACTTCCTTTCCAACAAATATGAACTTCTTTATTGGCATATTATATGATATTGGCTCTTCTGTGGTTGGAAGTTTTTTTATACAATGGTTTTTTTTTTCCTTGTACTGTAGTACTGCTCTTATTTCTCTCTCACAAAAGAAATTCAGGGCTAGAAAGCTGAACCACTGGAGTTTGGGAAAAATGTCCCAACTGGTAGAGCATGTGAAAGCATGTGAACCAACTTCTTCTGAAACTGGTAGTATATTTTGGTGCCCTTGCCTGCTATTGCATTTCACCAAAGGCCCAAAATTGCTCCTCCAATAATCTAGTCATCTCAATCCGTGTTGTGCCTTTTGGCTGTGCATGTGCAATCGTTTCTTTGAAGTAAGTTTAGGATCCACCTACAATATCAAAACCCAATTACACTTTATTTGTGTGCGTTATTCCCCCTCTAATTTAAGATCAGACAGAATAATCATTAGAAGACCAAACTGAAGACCAAACTGCATATTGAATAGAATCACTTGATGAATACTTTTTTATTTGGTCCCTTCCTTTTTGGTCAAGTAAAATTTGTATAACAGTGAGAAGAATTTACAGTATACAAAGGGGCATGCCCCTGCAAGTTTGCAACTAGAAACCTAAGCTGAATCTGAGCTAGTGACAGTAAGCACAAATCTTGCAAATCTTGAAAGATCAGTAACTTCTCAAACAAAACAGAAAAATTGAAAATAGGGTTATAAAAAATGGCACGATAAAACTAGAGGTTCTTTCTCTAATCTACTACGGCAATTTTCTTCTTGCAAGAGATGCATGGAAAACCATATTGAGGTCTCGAAAATATATGATATGAATTAGTAATAGTGTAAAACCATAGTGGCTTCGCTTGTGTGAACTTTGCATATAGTATGGTGTATGTCTATATATATTTTTGTATATATACGTTTGTATGCATAAATATGTATATAATCTAATCTATTCCAATCAAACAGATGTCAGACATGCAAAAGAGAGAGAAGACAGGGCTAGGATTATATATTAGAATACATATAGCCATTTGGCCAAATAATTATTTCCAGTAACTGCGTTTTGAGAGTGTGACATTAAGAAAGACCAAAACTCGAAACTTAATGACTAATACATTAATATTAACTTCTCTAACAAAGAAAAGTAAATAAAATCCTATCAACTGTGATACTAAAAATTATAAGGGAAAAAAATTAAGTTGATTACTTGTAACAAGAGTCATGCAACATGGCACGATAAAGTTCAGATAGTGCAGTAGCAGCACAGAGTTGTGCAGTCAGATTGTTCTTCTCTTCTTCTAATTTACGGCGATTTTCTTCTGAGTCTTGCAATAGATTATGGTAGACCTCAGAAGATGTTTTCGCGGCATAAAGCTTTGTAGCAATATTGCATTTCTCCTCCTCCCACTTGCCGCAATCCTCTTCATATTTTTCTGTGGCTTGCCACAGCTTTTTCGCCCATTTATCTTTCTTTTCCTTCAACTTCTTCCGGTAATCTTCTTCATACTTATTTCTTGATGCTTCCAATTCATTTTTCTTTGCTGCCTCATCGTAACTTATTTTCAATATATTCCTTTCTTCACATGCTGGTAAGTCTTCTTCCAATTTGGCATTTAATTTCCGTGCTTCCTTCTTGTCACCATCATTATTATTTTCTTTTGCCGTGTTCAAGTCCTTGCCATTGTCATTTGCAACAGTTGAACGAGCTCTTTCCGTCTCTTCATTCCTTTTATCTTTTCCTGCTTTCTTCTCTTCTTCTAGGTGGCAGCTACCGTTGCCACCACCCTTCCTGTCACCATCATTTTCTTTTGCCGTGTTCAAGTCCTTCCCATCGTCTCTTGCAGCACTTGAACAAGCTCTTTCCGACTCTCCATTCCTTTTATTTTTTCCATTCTTCTCTTCTTTTAGGTGGCTACCATTGCCACCATCATTATTGTTACAGTCATCTTCTTTTGTAGTCTTGCCGCCATTGTCAATTGCAGTTCTTTTCGATTCTTCATAGTACTCTTTTTCTTGGCGGGCCATCAGGTCACCGCTCTTCTTTTGGTTATTCTGGTCGCATATAACCTTTTCTTCCTTCAACTTCAGATCCTTCGATGGCGGTAGCTTAGCACACTGAATTTGTCCCTTTAACTTGATGTCAGTATTAGCATTGTTCCCTCGCAATTCGTTATTAATATTTCGATTGTCACCTTTTTCAGTTTTCTGTGATATTCAGAAAATCTATGAACTCAGTAATGATATTAAATACAAAAAAGAGACCAATACTAGTAGTAATGATAAAATTTCAGATTGCGGATTGTGAGAACATGTATTTCATTGGCTTTATTCCAGTAGTATAAAATATTAGCTATGTATTATCACGATTGAGGTGTGCCATGGCCTTTTGATTATACAAAACAAAACTTTGATGAAAATTTCATATGCAACAAGAAATTGGGTATATCTGATAATTCAATTTATCAGATAATTCTGAAAAATTATATGTTCATTCAATTATAAATTTGATTGTCATTTTTAAAAAGATGACACCTAAAATAAATTAAAAGTTTAAGTAACAATGACTTCAAAATGGGTTTGCTTATATGAATCTTGCATATAATTGGTGTCTATAATCTATATGTACCATTTGTGTGTGCGTGTGTATATATATATGTGTGTGTATATATATATATATGTAATTGTACACATGCATACAAGGGTGGAGCCAGGATTCCATAACACCAAAATAATATTACTATTCATTATATTCATACAAAAATATTAAAGAAGATTTTTATATTAAAAAAAAAGCCCCAACCCAAACAAAGCCAAATAAGATTTTAAGTCAAAATTTTAAAACATTCAACTAAAAAAAATTACACTTTAATTTATAAATAAAGAAAATTTTCATGTAATAATAGCACACATTAAAAAAAAAATAGCTCAACCGTCTATTTGTTTTTTTTTTTATTTTTATTTTTGAAAATTGGTGAAAATTGATTACCTATTCTGTTATTGGGTTATTTTTTTGAAAAATAATATTGCATTTTGAGTGAAGAGAGCCACCATACCTCAATTAGGTGTGATTTTTGAGATGCAGTGCCGATCTGGAAACAGAAAAATCAAAATATAAAGTGAGAAAATTTTGAATCTGAAAACAGAACCCAGATCTGATGAAAATAATATTAAGCGAATTTTAGAGCCCCTTCCTTCCCTGCATGCGTATGAAAACAATATATTCCAATCAAACAGGTATAGGCCACGGCTAGGGTTTACCTTGGGATTTAATTGTGAGTCAAAAAACACCAGCAAGTAGAGGATGTTGGTGCTGGAAAAGAGAATCACGGCCAATTGCAGACCTACTCGGGCCCACTCGAATGAAAACCAGAAACATATTAGCAAAAGTAAGATGGTAAGCCGTTCCGTCCGGAATGCAATTCTATACACTTCAGCATCAACATCATCATCACCATTGTTTTCTCGTAATTTCTCACTAATATTTCCATTGTCCCCCTTCTCTGTTTTCTGCAATTTTTAGAAAACGAGGCTAAATAGAGAGTAATGATAAAGAGTCCCACAATCCCACAAATCTAACTAACTAGGAATTTGGATGAAATTTCCAATCAAAAAATTGTTTCCAACTATACCCATATCTCCTCCATCTTTCATTCATTTTTACTTATCAAAAAATGAATTAAGAACAGGGGTTAGGGTTTATATATTATTGCGCACCTTGTGATTAAATTTTGAGGCCATGTCGATAAGAAAGAGGACAAAGTAGATGATGTTAGACAACAAAAAAAGAAACAAGGCCGTAGCCAGATGAAGTCGGATCCACTGATTTGATGGTTCTGCTTCTTGTTCTACAGCAAGCCAGCAGCGACATATTAACACAAAGGCAAATCGTTCAAACCAAATGGCAAATCGTTCCATCCAAAATGCAAGTCTATAATCCTCTTCAATCACATCCGCCATTACAACAATGTCAACGATGAGACCGGGTCTAAATTTATATATGTGTGTGTATTTGAAGGTATGTATATTAGTATATACGATATACGTGTTTATATCAATTTGCTTGGAATTTGGAAATCTTTTCCTTGAGTCAGAAGTTTAGTAAAACACTGTGGCCTGATGTTTAGGACTTGCCTTACCTACGACTCTTCCATGTAAAGTAAATTTAATTACCTAAATCAAAAAGTTCCCGTATAAAGTATGTATATTAATAGTATATACAATATACGTGTTTACATAAATTTGTTTGGAATTTGGAAATATTTTCCTTGAGTCAGAAGTTTAGTATAACACTGTGGCCTGAGGTTTAGGACTTGGCTACCTAAGACTTTTCCATGTAAAGTAAATTAAATTACCTAAATCAAAAAGTTCCCGTATAAGGTTGTCTATGTCCTCCATATAGAAAATGTGTCATAAAATAAATCACATTTTTTATTTTTACTTTTTTTCAAAAGTTGAATCTATTATATAAAATAAAAGGAACTGTACAGGGATGGCCTTTGGCCCAAACAAAGGGACGAAAAAGAGCCCAGAGGCCCAAACAGAAAAATTACATATTTTTAACAGCCCAAGGCCCAAAATGAAACAAACAACTCCACTATAACGGTCAATTAGCCGTTAATGGTGGAATCAGGCACAAATCCGGTGAGCAAGCTTTAATGGCATTCGAAGCTCAATGGCTTCGAGACTTCAGTCCGGCGGCCGTGGCGGAGGACGCATTATTTATTTTTTATTTTTTACTCTAGGAGCCAATAATTTACCTTAAAAGAGACCCCATTAATAATATAATAAAAAACAAAGGGAGACAGGTGCACAACATTTTTTTTTTATAATAATTGCACTTCATTTTTTTTTTTTTTTTTTTGTTCCTTTTAGACTTCGTAAGAAGGAAAAAGGGAGAGTAAAGGTTTCTCTCTGTTCGGTTGGATAGAAGAGAATGTAAATAATTGGTAATTTAATTTGATTGGTAAAAGTAATTTATCATTAAACTCATCATTTACTTTATTTATGAGATTTGTTAAATATTTATGAAGAGTGATACAACAGTTAATATGCATTGGGATGAAGACGGAATATAAATGTTTCCTTCTCCATGAGGCTTCTCTTTATTAACCAGCATTTACTTCTCCTATCCTAATCCGATTCACCCCAATCTGATTCCCCTAATATAATGTTTTACGTTGCCACAAATTGATGTTTTCTATGCTCTTCTACATGGATAAATGGTGATGGAGAAAAACTGGGGTGTTGGACGGAAGGTTAAGCAATCGAGAATGAAAAACATAATAGAATTGGGCAAGTCACTAGCTTGAGATAGAGAGACAGACAGGCTAGGGTTTTGATAGCGTGAGAAAGAGACGCAGTGAGAATCATATTATGATTTGATTTGGATACTTTTGGGTTTAACCCGAATAGCCTCTCAATTTTTTTATTTTGTATTGTTGGACACTTGTCATTTTATTTTAGCGACATATGAACTTTCTATTCTTACTTAATGGAGAGTAGGCAAGTATTATCCGATGAAAATTTGTGAAGGAAGAAGGAATAAAAGATGACTCATCCTTCATATTATTCTTTCTTTTCTTATATCATCTTTACAAGAAAATTTGTTTATTCCTTCCACTCCTTTTCTTTCATTCTAACCAAACATAACATTAAGAAAATAACAAAAAGGTCAATGAACTTAATTATAACACCATAATTAACTTTTTTACTATATATATATATATATATATATATATATATCATTTTTACCTTCATCACTACTACTACTTTTTTTTTTTTTTTTTTTGATGAAAACATATAATTAATTCAACATAAACAACATGCATCATAAACAAAATGAATCAAAAGCAGAAATGAAAAAAGACATACTAAATTTTTCTACCATGTATTACTTACTTCCATCTCTTCCTAAAGATTGTGCATTTTTTAGTTATATAGTACAGTATTTATATGCAAATTTGGAAAATCAAAGAGAGTTGTGAAAGTCTAGGGGTATGGTCTCTCAATGTAGGGGCGGCTCCCTCTAATTTGGGGCCTTAGTCAAAAAATAAAAAGTAACTTTTTCAACAATATAAATAAAATTAGTCACAAATAAAAAAAAAATACAAATATATATACACACACAAATTTATAATAACAAAAATTAATAAAATTAAAAATAATTAAAGAAAAAGAACAATCGAGCCTGATTTAAACCCAAATCCAAAACTTCCACAAATTTTTTATTGAATAAAAATGCGTTCATAACAACTATAAACTTGTAATGAGAGTGTAAGGAGAAGACTTGTTGAAAAGAAGAAGATAAAACATAAAAAAATAAAGAATATGTAAAGTTTTCACCATTTTCCTAAACAATAACGTTAAATAGGTATTTAATATTTTATTACTGGTGTAACTTACCAAAAAAATGTTTTTTTTTTTTTTTTTTTTTTTTTTTTAATGATACAAATTTGTTGGCCTAATATTAAATTTCTATATTGGTTAGGATTTATTGTAAAACGTGAATGGGAGTAGAAAAAGGGAGGGAAAAAAAGTCATATAAGGATGTAAATCTTTGGGGGTTAATATTAAATTTATGTATGAGTAGAAAAAGGGAGGGAAAAAAAGTCATATAACGATATAAATCTTTAGGGACCAATATTAAATTTGTGTATCAATCAGAGTTCAACGGAATGAGGGTGGAGAGAGAAAAGAGAAAAGAAGAAGAAGTAATTTTTGCATACAAATATTTGAGGCCTAATATAAAATCGAGACAAAAGAGAAAAAAAAAAAAAAAAAAGAAGTTATTTTAGGATATAAATATTTGAGGCCTAATATAAAATCGAAACGATTGTGGAGAGACAAAAAAGTTATTTAAGGATATAAATATTTCAGATCTACTATAAATTTTTTATATTTATTAGATTTTAAAAATATAAAAAAATAATTACAATATAACTTAATATAAGAAAATTTTAAAATTTTGAAACCTTCTAGGACCTTGGGCATCCTGTGGTCCAATATATCTCTTTTACCTTTCCAAAGTGGTGGGTGTGGTATCTACTTAATCTCCTAAAGTGGATGGTGAATATTTGCATTCCCAAGCTAGCATATCGGGTGTGGGAATAGTGTGTATTTTTTGCCGATTAAAATAATAATAATAATAATAACAATAAAAAAATAAAAATAAAAATAATATCATAATATATTGATACAATTCAACTGTGCTCAAATTTCTTTTTAATATTATTATTTTTGGCAAAAAGAGACAAGAAAAAAAAAAAAATAAAAAAAAAAAAAAAAAATAAAACAGCTGGAATAATGTTGTCATTATTTTTAATTTGGGACGTTTGCTATATACCATGAGGTCCATGACTAACAGACAAAGCCCCAAACTTTTTTCACCAATAACTTCTCTGACGATGAAAAAAATTTAAAATTCTATGAACTGGGAATACTAAAAAGGCACCAAACTGAATGACTAATAACTTCTCTAACAAAGGAAAAATACTAAAAAGACACCAAACTTTGTGACGAATTACTTCTCTAACAAAGAGAAAAAATAAAAAATAAAAATAGAACCCTATGAAGCTGGACAACCTAGGGTTATGCAAAATGGCACAATAAAGCTCGGATAGTGCAGTAACGTACAACTCAAGGGTCACGCAAAATGGCACGATAATGCTCAGATTGTGCAAGAGCAACACAGAGCTGTACAATCAAATTGTTCTTCTCTTCTTCTAATTTACGCTGATTTTCTTTTGAGTATTGCAAGAGACTGTGGTAGACCTCAGAAGATGCTTTCACCGCATAAAGCTTGTAGCAATATTGCATTTCTCTTCCTCCCACTTGCATTTTTCCGTCTCTCGCTTCATCTTTTTTGTCTATTTATCTTTCTTGCTAGATCTGACATGCCAAATTGTGGCGGATATGATCAAAGGGAAGACTTCGGAGGAGATTCGTAAGACCTTTAACGTTAAGAATGACTTCACTCCTGAGGAAGAAGAGGAGGTGCGTAGGGAGAATGTATAGGCGTTTGAGTGAAATGTGGAGCAGTGTATGCAATGTCAATAGTATGACTGGGATATTGTCACATATGCTATGCACATTTTGTTTGAATTGGTGAAATACATGGGTTTCTTTTTGCTTTGTGAAAACCTTCAACTTCCTTTCCAACAAATATGAACATTTTTATTGGCATGTTATATGATATTGGCTGTGTGGTTGCAAGGTTTTTTATACAATGTTTTTTTCCTTGTATTGTAGTACTGCTTTTATTTCTCTTTCGAAAAAGAAATTCAGGGCTAGAAAGCTGAACCACTGGGGTTTGGGAAAAATGTCCCAATTGGTAGAGCATGTGAACCAACTTCTTTCTGAAACTGGTAGTATATTTTGGTGCCCTTGCCTGCTTTTGCATTGAACCAATGACCCAAAATTGCTCCTCCAATAATCTCGTCTTCTCTATCCGTGTTGTCCTTTTTTGCTGTGCATGTACAACCATTTCTTTGAAGTAAGTTTAGGATCCACCTCCAATATCAAAACCCATTACACTTATTTGTGTGCCTTATCCCCCCTCTAATTTAGATCAGACAGAATAATTATTGGAAGACCAAACTGCATATTGAATAGAACCTTAGAATCACTTGATGAAAACTTTGTTTTTTTTGGTCCCTTCCTTTTTGATTTAGTACAATTTGTATAACAGTGGGAATTTACAGTATACAAAGGGGCATGCCCCCTGCAAGTAGAAAACAAAGCCCCAGCTGAATCCAATCATCAGAGTGGCTATAGACAATGAGTAACAGAGTTAGTGACAGTAAGCACAAATCTTAAAACATTAGAGTTTGCTTGGTTTGTAATTTTGAAAACAGTTCCAGAAAACATTAAACAGTTTTCAGAGAACAATAAAAGACAATTATTTAAAAATAGACATTTTTATAACTGAGTTTT